GCTGCGCCACCAGGGAGGGCCCATTTTTGTTACTTTTACTACACTTAAAACACTTAACATATCACAATGCACTTACTTCTCAAACCTGACGGGGACTAAAGGGCTGAATGGCCCCAGCCCGGCTAGGTCTGGGGAGGGCAAGACAGAGGCCCAGCAATCGGAGAAGTGTGGGGCCAAGGTCACAGCAAGACTGAGACAGAGTCTGGCCCGGACCTGGCTGAATGCTGCAGCTAGCAGTGAGGGCTGCATGCTGACCACCGAGACTCCCGAGGGGGTGCTGAGGGAGACACGCGTTAGTGTCCGGCACGAGTGTTCCATACGTCCAAGGACAGGGAAGCCCGGCCAGCCCCATAGAGCCTTGACCCGCCCACGTGTACCCCGTGCAGGCCCTGGAGAGGGAGGGTGAGGGGCTCGCTGCCCGTGGGGTCTCAAGCAAACACAACCGCTGAGTCACCTCAGGCACAGCGGTGCCATGAGGAGCGACGCAGGCACGCAGAGCTAAGGGCCGGCCCCTCACAGTCCCCTCTGCTGAGAAGTGATGACCAAACTGGCGACACCCGCCTCCTCTCAGAAGTCACTCCCACTCACAAAGCCTGCACAGGGGCTGCTGAATGGCTCCATAGAAGCGCCCGGCAGTTTCCTCCCAGCCCAGGCTGGAACGTGGCCCAGGGCCAGGGAGCCACTCAAAAATTGCCTGTCCAACTGCACAGCCACAAACATTGCTGGTGACCCCGCAAGAGACTCAAGCTTGACCCTCAGCCCTCGGCCACTCCTGGACTGACAGGCACGTCAGTCCTTCAGGCTTGGGACTTGGAAAGGGAGAAAGTGGGCGACCGGTCCCCGGTGACAAGTGCCCCCCATAGAGCCTCCGGCAACTTCCAGAAGATACTTCCTTCATGACCCTTGACTGCTCAGCACAGCACAGCAGGAAAACCTGACCTTCGCAGCCCCAGAAGGGCACTACCTCCTGGCACAGAGCCAGCGGCACGGTGCCCAGGGGGCTCTCCTGTCCAGCGGCCGCTTGCTGGGAGTATTGGTGAGAATGTTTGCATGTTTGGACCGCGCCAGCTTTCATCACCCGGGGTGATGCACCCATGTGCTGGCCCCCGGGGTCCCAGCCAGGTTTCAGTCCCATTCCTTTGGCATGAGACTGCACCCACTGTCCCGGAAGGGGGCCTTTCCAAGGCCTGTTCTCCAGGCCGAGGCCCAGGACATCAGCAGACACCGTGGCACTAGAGTACCTTAAAAGGTAAAGCCTGGGCCTTTGGCCAGTGACACACCTGAGCCCCACCCAGAGACACAGAGCGGCGCCATGGTTCCCAAGAAGCGTGGTGACGTAATCCTTTGTGCAAGACAAAAGAATGTGAGCTCCCTGGAGAGAGGCTTGTCTGGGGCTTGTGTGGCCAGGAAAAAGCCCAGAAACTCAGCTCTTCCCTGGCCGCCCTGTCCCCCAGGCTGGTCTGTCTGCTACCCCACAAAGTCCAGATGCTTTATGAGCTCAGACCAACTACATCATAAGTCTGGCAGAGGAGACAAAGCCGAAATCTCCAGGAGATTCCAAAGCCCAGGGTTCCCTCACCCAGGACACGGTTCGCAGTGCACCATGGCATCACCAGTTAAACTAGAACCGGCGTGTGGGGCACCCAGCTACGTTCATATCCGCCCAGCCCCATCTCTGAGGACAATCTCTTCCATGACCTGACCTCAGATGTCCCCATCAGGGCAGTAGGAAGCTGCTCTCCCTGCTCTCCTCTGCACGCTGTGTGTTTCCTCGGGGATGTCCTGCGTCCCCACCCAGAGTGAGCATGTGTGGGGCTGGCGCCTGAGCTCGGGCCATTCAGGAACTCTGGAGACTAGTGCAGTTCCCGCTCCCCCAGAACAGCTGTGGGGGGTGGGGGCAGGCTGGGGGGCAAGCAGACCCCCCTTCTCTCACTGTCACCAGGGGCCTCTGAAGCCGCTGCCGGCCGCCTAAGGTTCTGTCTCTATATTATCACCGAAAGTTGAATCTTGTAAACCCACCGCAAGGGCAGAGACGTTCCCCAGGCGTGTGCCCATGGGCTCCCACCTCCAAATCCTGCCAGTTTTGCCTGTCCCCAGCGCACCGGGAGAAATCCAGGCACGGACAACGCGTTCTCAGCAGAACTTTTATTGCAAAGGAGGGGTCCCAGGAAAAGAGACGTGGGTCAGTTTGGAGGGGCTCGCTGCTGGGCTCAGGTAAACTGTAAGCCACGCCCACCCAGCACGCGCGCAGGTATCCCGGCCCCCGGTAGAGGCCATCTGGGTCCGGTGAACTACATTCCATTACGCTCTGGGTGGGGGGCGAGATGAGGTGAGGGCGTTAGGGGTGCAGGGCTAAGTCTTCGGGTTAGGGTCCCTTGACTTCTCCTGGGCGGTGCAGAAAGGGTTCAACATTCCTGGGAGCTGCCGCAACCCAAGTCCCCGCCGCAGACAGGGGAGCCGCAGAGCGCGCAGCAGCCGCCGGGGGCGCCAGGGGTCAGGCCCGCGGAGCCGGCGCCGGGCTCGAGCTGGCGGGTGGGGCCGGACGCTGAGCCCGGCACGGTGGTGAGGGGGGCGCCCTGGGCTGGGAGAAGAACGGCTGCTGGAGGGGGGAGACCCCCTCCTCCCCACCCCACCCTGCCCAGAAGGCGGACCTGCGATCTCCTCCCCCACGGGACAGCTGCGCAGACCCTCTCCCCCCCGTAGAGGCAGACGTGAACACCCCCCACTCCCCAGCCTCTGCGCCCCAAGTAGGAGATACACAGCACCCTTCTCCCAAGAGACAGACCACCCCTGAAGTCAGCACAGACCCACGCAGCCGAGACTAAAACACAAGGACAGACCACGCGGAAGGAAGCCAACCTCCACGCCCAGTCACCACACGCCTCTCAGAGGAGGGCAGTGGGGAACAGCCCCCTCTCCCCGCCCAAGATTTGCGCCAAGGAGGGAGAGCAACACTTGCAGTCTAGCCCGAGTTAGCCCTCGCATTTACTTACTGCTGCAGCCTGCCCCAAATCCCAGGCCGAGCCTGCGGGAGGAGGAGGAAGCGGGAGTAGGGGTCTCCCTTCCCCAGAACACCCCCTCCAGCTGGCTAGCTGGTTCTCAGACACGCAACTCTTGTTTCAAAAACTCCTTCTGGGCCTTCAGACTCAAGCCTCCCTGCTTTAAATTCAAGTAACTCCTTTTTGCTGATGACTTCTTGGAGGAGAGAAAAAGCAAAAGACCTAAACTTCTTTTTGCCTTAATTTATCTTGAAAGGAGAGATGGGGTGGGGGGAATATTTTAGACTCCATCAGGAACCATAGAAGAAATAGCTCGATTACCTGAAAAAATATTGGCCAATCCTCACCCAGTGTCCTTCTGTGTGTCCTTGAAATGGTCCCTTGCCCTCTGAGACTCAATTTCCTCATCTGTGACATGGGGCTAGTAGCTCCTTTCTAGGGCGTTCCAGACTTTAGAGGAATGCTAAGTGTAGGGGCCTGTGCTCAGCCCCCTCTGCCCCCTCCGCCTGGCAGACCCAGCGGGCGTCAGCTGCCCCGGTCTCCCCACTGCCTCTAAAAGAAAAGCTAAAGCACAACGTGTCCCTCTCCGCGGACCTCTGCTTGCCCAAGGCCTGGTTGCAGGAGCAGAGAAGGCCCTTGCGTGGACGTCCTTCCCCTCGCCTGGCCTGGGCCTGTCAGTGACACATGCCCTCTGACACCCGGGGCACGTGACTTCGTGAATCTCCGGTGCTGGGACTTTTGTCTAAAGGACTGTGGGACTGCG